CCCACCCCCCCGTCAACCACCTCATCTCCCCAGGAGGATCAACATTCCAGTCTGCACACTTTCCTGTTTCCTCCTTGCCAGCTTCCTAACTCCGTAGCTGCTGGGGAGTCTTCCCCTGGCCTCCCCTCTGTGCTTCCCAGTCGCCCCCTCCTTACGTGTTCTCTGAGTCAGTGACCCCCAGAAAGGCTGCGTGTGGGTGGCACAGTCTTGGAGCCCATTGCTCAGGCGCTGGAGCAGGTCTTGCTGATTGTTCAGGGCGTCTGAGACGATCGTGGCCAACTGTTGCAGCACCCCAAATTCACAGGGGACCATTTGGGTCTGCTCTGGATCCCAGCAGGTCAGCACATCCTTGTTGAAGGAGATACAATACATGAAGTCCTTTGGAGTCCCCTCGTCATCCAGGACACAGACGCTTTCCACATGGGCCACGAAGCCACCTGCAGGAGCCAGAGAATGGGGTGGCAGGGTTGGGGGAAAGAGTTCAGAAGTGACCCTCCACTGTGACCCCAGCCTGAAGTCCACCCAGCTAGTCCAGTAAAGATTCTCCATGACACACGGTTTTTGTGGACCACACACGTTTGGAGTCACCCAGAGTCCCAATTTAAAGGAACCGACAATAGAAGCAGAGAAGCTTTTAGATCCAATTTCCTCGTGGTGCATGACTACAGAGGGCGACAGAAGAGGCCCGTTTCTTGCATGCTTAAACACAACAGTTTACCCAGAACACAGACCTACAGTAAAGCAAATGAGTAAGAGAGAAAGGGGGTAAAAAGGAGCCAGCCTTGCTCTGTGACAAGGGATCAAGGAAGTGAGTCAGCCTTGTCCTGTGCAGGAAAGATGGTTAAATATTCACCCCGCACATATTTATGAAGCGCTGGCTATGTGTCTGGCACTATGCTGGGAGCTGGGCCTGCAGGAGGTTGCAAGGCAGACCTCGGCATTGCCTATATTCCAGCAGGGCTGCGTGGGAGAGCTTCACGGAGTTCATGGGGGAAAGCCATGATCTTCTCATTCCATTTTCTACCAACCGTTTGACATCCTTGCCGATAGTACACAAACGTGGGTTATGCGCGAGGGCCTACTGCAAAGTCCGTTCAAAAGCACCAGCCGCTGTGCATGAGAGAGATGAGGCTGTCTGCTCTGGCAAGGATTTATAGCCCCGGGAAGCCACTGGGGCAGGCCGACTCTGTCCTATAGGGTCATTCACTCAGTGTCATGGAGTCAAAGCTGACTCAAAGCGACCTGCTGCAGGTTTCTGAGACGGGAACTGTTTACAAGGGTAGAAAACCCCATCTTTGTCCCCAGGAGCTGCTGCTGGTCTTGAACTGCCGACCGTGAGGGTCTAGGCCCTGCGCTTACCCACACTACACCACAGGGGCTCTAGTGAGGGTCGCTGTGAGTCAGAATTGACCCCATGGCAGTAAGTTCGCTTGATTTCTCCTGAGATTGCTAGTCCAGTACAGAATCCAGTGCTACAGGAATATACAGAAGGGAGACAAGCTCGTCTGGGGCGTCCAAACCCAATAACAAAACGGAACCCGCTAGCCCCAGAGCAACAGCAAGGGAGGGAGGGTCCTTACCTGCTCCGGTGCAGCCCAGGCTGAGGCCCAGCAGCAGCTGCACAAATGAGATCATGTTCTGCTCCGGGAAGACACCAGGAGTTCAGTCCCCTAGGCCACCTCTTCCAGAGGCCTTGGGTCCTGGCCTGCCCTAGAAGCCCCAGCCTGGAGAGATGGTCTTCAGACACCGAGTGGACTATACCAGGGCCTTTTTTGATCCCTGCTAAGGACGTGATTTAGGGCTACCAAGTCCTTGGATGCTAGATCTGTGCCTACCACAAGTCATTGAAGTCAGACGTCCCAGACCAAAAGTCCAATTCGCCACATAGGCGGAGACAGACGTAAAGACAAATAGCTGGGTGACTCGCCTTTGCATCATCAGTTACTAGGTAAGCTTCATCCTGCCCTAGGCCTTGGCAGCAGGTGTCCTGGTTTGCTTCCTAAGTATTCTTTTCTTTTTCATTTTTGCTTTCAAATCCTCTTTTCAAACTATTATGTTGCTGTGGTTGATAATATACACAGTTCATATTATCCAGACATCGTATTGATTATTTTGTTGTTGTTGTTGTTGTTATTATTTTATTTGTCAGGACAAAAAAAAATTTTTTTTAAGCATTTCATTGGGGCTCATACAATTCATCACAATACATAGATCAATTGTGTAAAGCACACCTATACATTTGTTGCCCTTGTCATTCCCAAAATCTGCTTTCCTCTTGGGTTCCCGGAATCAGCTCATTTTCCTTT